CGGGGGGGCCCCCCAGCAAGCTGCTGCTGCAGGCTGCCTATACACCGCAGGCACTGGTTTGCCGCTCGCTGCTGCTGCTAAACCCTCCTTGCTGCTGCAGTTAGGGGGCCCCTCTTCCTCCTCCCCAGGCTTAGCATGCAACAATGAATCATCCCCCCCTATGAAAGCAGCAGGGTCTCCATCCTGAGGGGCCCCTGCCGCTGCAAACTGCTTAGAGGGCCCCTGGGGGGCCCACTGAGGGGGCCCCTGAAGAGACTTCTCCTCTGCATAGAGGCAAATAGTAATGAATTCTACAGACAAATCAACAGCCCCTGCGGCGCTGTGCAGCGCGCGGCGCAGCAAAGCCAGCAGCGACTCCATGCCATACAAAGCACCCTCACCCACAGGGGGGCCCCCCAAAGGGGCCCCAGGGGCCCCCAAGGCCCCAGCGGCCCCCGAGGCCAGTGAAGGAAGCCCCCACTCGTAGACAGAACCTCCATCTGCTGCTGCCGCTGCTGCTACTGCTGCTGATGCTGATGCTGCTGCTGTTGCTTCTCTGCACCCCTCAGAAGGGCCCCCAGCAAAAGCTGTTGCTTCCTCTCTCCTGCAGGCACGCCGGATGCCCTTCTCCGCAACTTTGCTCCCCGACGCTCTAGCAGCTGCTGCTGTTGCTGCTGCAGTTGCTGCTGCTGCTGCAGCAGCAGTCGACGCTCCACTGGCCCCACCAGGCCCGGGTTGCGTCTCTGCACAAGTGGAGGGGCCCCTGGGGGCCCCCCTTGCCTTCGACTGCAACCTCCCCCCTTTTGCTGCAGCCTCGGAAAAGGCCCCTTGGGGGCCCCCTGAGTAGTACTGGGAGAGCTGGGGCTGCAGCTGCGTTGCAGCTGCAGCTGCCGCTGCAGCCGTAGCTGCAGCAGCAGCAGCGGCAGCAGCATTTGTTGCTGCCGCTGTGTGTGTGTGGCCTCCCGCTGCTGCTGCTGCTGCTGCTGCTGCTGCTGCTGCTGCCGCTGCGGCGGCAGAGGGTAGGGGCCCCTGAAGGGGCCCCTGGAGGGGCCCTTGGAGGGGCCCCTCTATTCTTATTACGACTGTGGGGCGTGAGATTCGGAGTGTAAGAGGTAGCTTAAGACTGATACAGCCTACGTGGCAGCTAACAACAGATAAGAAGCCCCAACCTGCTGCATGCAGAGCCTCTGTTAATTGAGTTGTCTCTACTTCAACAGAAAGAAGACAAACCTCTCCCCCCCCTACTGCTATCTCTAGCTGCTGCTTGCTAAGGCGGCGCACAACAGACCCTAAAACCACACGCCGCAGAGATGCAGCAGCAGCACTTCTCAGCGTTCGCTGCAGCACCTGCAGCACACGGCCCCACAGAGAAGAGTCAAACATCTTCTCCTTTCAAGAGGGCCCCCTGGGGCCCCCCAAATGAACCCTTAAAAATGAAAGGGCCCCCAACCAACCCCCTACACAGGACAACAAGAAGACTTCAGCGCTGCAGATATCCTCTCGACACCCATCGTGCTTCTCCTGAGGCTCCTGCTGCTCTTGCGGTTGCGCCTGCTGCTGCAGCTGCTCCTGCTGCTGCTGCTCGTGCTGCTCGTCCTGCTGCTGCTGCTGCTGGGGGTAGCGACAAAAAAACTATGGGCTGCCTGCGTCAGTCTATGGCGAGCTGCTGCCAATGCTGTAAGTCGAAGCAGAAGTGCAGCA